AGTTCAGGTTCCATTCGCTTACTGAACAGGCCTATCAAAGTGGCTTTTGTTCATTTGTTTCCTAGCGCTTGATGAATCTCACAAAGTATGATATATAAAAAAGAACCATTTTGCAGTTCTGAAGTTTTTCTGAAAAAGTAGACAAACGTGCTGGCATGTTAGGTTTCCCTAAACATCTAGGAACCAAATCATTGGTGCGTGAGCTATCCTGCGTCCAGTTGCTGGAAGTGGCTAGTAGCTTGCTCCCTTACTTAAGTAGGCAATAGGCACCTACCGAAACAGATCTTCAGGGAAATTGCCTCAAGTAAGCTCCTTGGAGCTCCTGAGCCTTGTCCGCTCCCAGGCTTCGACGACAGCGATTGATGAGGAGCGACCCAATAGCGACAGCTTTTTTTGTGCTTCTAGGTTGGAGGCCATCGCTAGTAACAAGAAGCTACTAGGAGCAAAGGGCATCGCTACTAGGAACAAGGGCATCGCTACTAGGAACAAGGACGCTACTAGGGGCTCCTGGCCTTACTACTGGGAACAAGAAGCTACTAGAAACAAGTGCATCGCTTCTAGTAACAAGTGCCTTACTAGTAGTAACAAGAAGCTACTAGGGGCTCCTGGCCTTACTACTAGGAACAAGAAGCTACTAGGAACAAGTGCATCGCCGTCGCTTCTAGTAACAAGTGCCTTACTAGTAGTAACAAGAAGCTACTAGGGGCTCCTGGCCTTACTACTAGGAACAAGAAGCTACTAGGAACAAGTGCATCGCTTCGAGTAACAAGTGCCTTACTAGTAGTAACAAGAAGCTACTAGGGGCTCCTGGCCTTACTACTAGGAACAAGAAGCTACTAGGAACAAGTGCATCGCCGTCGCTTCTAGTAACAAGTGCCTTACTAGTAGTAACAAGATGCTACTAGGGGCTCCTGGCCTTACTAATAGGAACAAGAAGCTACTAGGAACAAGTGCATCGCTTCTAGTAAGAAGTGCCTTACTAGTAGTAACAAGAAGCTACTAGGGGCTCCTGGCCTTACTACTAGGAACAAGAAACTACTAGGAACAAGTGCATCGCTTCTAGGAACAAGTGCCTTACTAGGAGTAACAAGACGCTACTAGGGGCTCCTGGCCTTACTACTAGGAACAAGAAGCCACTAGGAACAAGTGCATCGCTTCTAGTAACAAGTGCCTTACTAGTAGTAACAAGAAGCTACTAGGGGCCCCTGGCCTTACTACTAGGAACAAGAAGCTACTAGGAACAAGTGCATCGCTTCTAGTAACAAGCGCCTTACTAGTAGTAACAAGAAGCTACTAGGGGCTCCTGGCCTTACTACTAGGAGCAAGGACTATATTAGGTTGGAGGCCATCGCTTCGCAGTGCCACGCAGCGGCATACAGGCTACTTGCGGCCCTCCGCAATTCAGGCAATTCTTCCAAAATGAACATCGTCTCTTCTCAGTTTTACGACGAACAATACATTACATTTTAAAATATGTTATGCAGTAAGATTCGAAAATGCCTCTCACATGTGCAGGGGATCCTTCTCCAGAAGTCCTGGAGCCTTGACCTGAGTGGCTCCATGCATTTCCATGAATGCTTAGTAAAGAACATCTCATCAACCGCGTTCGAACTGTGTTTTCTTTGAGGCTGGCGACCACCTTGCTTTTGCCACAGCTATTGCACAGCAAGGTCAGAGACCGATCGCAAGTGGGCAATCGCCAATCGCGATAGCAATCGTTTCGAGTAGAAGGAAGAGCTGCACTTGGTGGGTACTTGAAGCCACAGTGTTTTGCATCTGCAAGAGGCTTTGAGCTTTAGCCCGGGCTATGACTCGGCGTGCTGTTCTCAGCGAAAAAGACTGCAGAGAGCCTGAGGGTGTAATCGTTTTTTTGCAGCTATGATCTAGTAAAGCATCCTACTCGGACTACTTACAAGAGCGTGCCAAAATCCCTATTTGTCTTTAGAAAGCCAAGTCCCATGTGACCACTTCTAAGGAGAAGCACCAGCGAGGTGGTTGAGGACGGGCTTTCCATGCGATGATCTGTGCTTTTGCAGTCCTTAACTGCTAATGAATCCGGACGTGATCGTTTTAGCGTTTTGAAACTCGTCTAAAGTGCCTCCGATAGCCTCCAGAATGCAAGGTGAGCCATATTGCGTTCTTGCCAAATGTGGCTTTGGGTGAGGTTGAGGCAAGAACGGAGGGGCTGAAATTACACAAGGAAACTCAAAGCTCATTATTTGTGCTTCTAGGTTGGAGGCCATCGCAAGTAGGTTGGAGGCCATTACAATCAGGTTCCTATTGCTATTAGGTTCCATTCCAATTCGATGCCTCACCTTGAGCCCTCTGGTCAGCCGCTACCTCTCGAGGTACTCCTTTGTGACATCCTCGCTGACCTTTGCGATCTGCATGGCACGCATGTGGTCCCTCACCTTTGGCGATTGCCAGAGACTTGTTAGTCACGTGAGCGTTGCACAAAGCGTTGCCCACCATGATTACGCACATGAGGTTTCGTGCATACTTGGGAGATCCAAGTCATTGGTACTCCTGTCTTCTTGTGAAGGGCTCGGGAGTGCTCCAGCAAGGTCTTGTGAAAAGCCTAAAAGCAAAGACAAAAACACATTCAGAGTCTAGAGATATTTGTGATATGGTTACATACCTGCCTTGACAGGAGCACAGCATTGCCTAACTAACTGATGAATGTTTCCCTAAAGATCTACGAATCAAATCATTAGTGCCAGCGCTTCTTCAAGGACGCCCCCCCCCCCGCCGCCTTTAGGGCTGTGGGGTGAGCTATCCTGCGTCCATGCTAGTAGCGTACTAGTAGCTACCTCTCCCTTACTTAATTAAGTGGGCGCATACTTAATTGAGTAGAGTGGGGGGGAGCGGAGCGGGCTTTAAAAAAGCAGAAGCTGTATGCCGTCTTGTGAAGACCAAGGCCATGGCCTTGCTGACCCGGATCTCGTGACTGACCCGGAGCAGTTGTGCTTTGTCTAGCTTCTTGCTACTAGTAGCGATGGCAGGAGCCCCCCAGTAGCGTCCTTGCTCCTAGTGGCTTCTTGCTACTAGTAGTAATGCACTTGTTCCTAGCAGCTTTGCTCGGTGGGTTATGTGTGTCCTTCAGGTCCCAGCTGAACTCGCAGCTGCTTCACACGGTCTGGGATGCCTAGAGCCAGCTGGGTTGCTCCTTTTCAGTACCACAACGTGTTGAGATTGTCATTTTTTTCTACCGGTTCTCTACTCTTCAAACATTATACGCACGCTGCTGCTGTAGCAAGATTACGCAATGGAGAAGAGTAGGAGCAAGTAATAATGGAGTAAGTCATTTGAAGACCACCATTGATTTGGTTCCTAACCACAGTCATTCACATTCTCTTATGTCAAATGAGTCAACTGCGGGGATGGGTCAATTCATGGGTGAAGAACATCCACCTACAAACTATTTCGCCTCCAATGAAACGTGGTTCTAATCAGCACCCATGCGAGTCCCGTGTGAGTGCTTTCCCCTTTGCTTTGTGCACAAGGATTGTGCGCTCTTTCTTTTGACATTTTGGACAGAGGTGTGTTGCTGATCCCAGCGCATTCTTCCCAGGATTGTGCGCTCTTTCTTTTCGATGTGCTGGTGGACGTGCAGAAGCAGCTCACGTTTGGCTCTTTGAAAGCTTTTCATGAAAAGAGCTGACCAAAAAAGCAGAGCGACAACGGGCGACTTCGCCACTGGACAGCACTCGTTCACAAGGCGCCAGCGTGAGGAAGTGCTGGCTGCGACCGGTCGAATGCTATGCGCCAAGAGCGGCTGCAGTGTGCATGAGCGAAACGACGTGAAACGACGAGGGTGTTTCTACTAGCTTCTTGTTCCTAGTAGCGATGCCAGGAGCCCCTAGTAGCGTCCTTGCTCCTAGTAGTAAGGCCAGGAGCCCCTAGTAGCGTTCTTGTTCCTAGTAGCTTCTTTTTTGAGGAATCGGCTCCATTTGCCACAGATTCCGCCTTCCCAGCATGCATTTCAGAGATTTGCTGATGGAGCGGACCCAGAGAAAGAGAGAGAGATAGAGAGAGATCACATGACAGGCAGACAGTCACAGTTTCCTCTACACCTGCATCATCGAGAACCTTTGGCATGGTCCGCCCACGCTTCCGTTTGGCTTAGCGCATAAATTCTCAAACTCCATATAAAATATGCAGACGGTGTCAGGATTGGACTAGCTTGACTGCACCCTGGTCTCCTTTGACAGCATCCTCCTCCAAGGACGGAACGAACAGCATCATGGGGCATCCTGATACGAAATGAAGTGATCGCTGACGCTGTTTGAGAGGCGCCAGAGGTTCCGGAGTATCTTGGCTGCACAAGAAAAACGAGAGATCAAGGAGGTGCTTTTTGGTTAGGTCCTTTTTGGGTCACCCTTGCCAAAAGCCACGGACGAGGCCGTTTGAGGATCACCGTGATCATCCACTTTCGGTCCCTTCGGAGACACCGATGTCCAGCGCCAGTGCTTGGGCTCAACTCAGTGACGACGACTTGCGAACGTGCCTCGTGGCCGCGGATTGTCCCAGGTGAGCCAGAGCGCAACACGAGGCGATCTTCTTGTTACTAGTAGCATTATTGTTCCTAGTAGTAAGGCCAGGAGCCCCTAGTAGCGTTCTTGTTCCTAGTAGCGATGCCCTTTGCTCCTAGTAGCTTCTTGTTGCGATTGTCCAAAAAAAGAGGGTGTCTGAATTGGTGTTTGAGTTGTAGTGTGTCAATTAAACTTTTGCATGTTCTCTGAAAGAAATGGCAGCCGAACTCGTACAATTCTCCACGCATTGAACGTCGCAGTGTGCCACGATCTTTGTCCTTTGGTGTTATGGGCTCGGAACCCCAGGACTCCGCGGGAGTAGGTTGGAGGCCATCGCAAAGTCGGTTTTTGGACTCCCAAGTGGTTTTTTCGTTCCTCTCGCCACCTCAGTCGAATTCTGATTTTGATGCTCCAAAACATCCTTCAGAATCCGTTCAGATTTTGGAATGTCACCGTGTCGCTGAGACCTTGCAGCTCCACTTCGGTGGCCAATGCAGGCAATGCAAGGCCCAACTACTGCAATTCTCTACACTCGGCCGAAGCTTTCAAAGAGTCATTCAGTTTGGACAGCTTGCAAAGCCGTATTTCTTTTTGCCAAAAACCTGTATACGGCTTTCCTCAAATCACAGGATCTTTGGACTTGCCGCTCGTTCCACCAGGTCCTTCCAGGCGAGTGCATCATTTTTTCAAAGCCTGAGTGGCCCTGCCTCCAACTAGTAACAAGTGCCACGCTAGTAGTAACAGGTGCCTTACTACTAGTAACAAGAAGCTAGTAGTAACAACTTAGTACTACTAATTTTAATTAGATTCTAATTAGTCAGGCTAGTAGCCAAGCAGGACGCTACAAACTACCGGACGCAAGATAGCTTGCTTTTCTTCAAGGAAGATCTCCGCCTGAAACGGCGGGGGCGAGCTTCCTTGAAGAAGCGCTCGCACCATTCATTTTGGTTTCTAGATGTTTAGGAAGAAGCAGATGGGTAGGGGCTCCTGGCCTTGCTACTAGGAGCTGATTTCAATAGAGTAAGTGTGATGTAGCCTGTGGTGGCCATGCATTTCTGGGAAGCCAGGCCTGCGGTGCCACCGCTGAACTTGGACGCGGCGAAGTGCTTTGGCGAGAACTCACGACCTTTGCAATGAACATGGTCCTATTTGCAAACACTTTCCATTAAGCCTAAAATACAAGCGATGGCATGCACCCTGGTAGCGGCCTCCAACCTAAGAGCGACGGACTCCAACCTACTAGCGATGGCCTCCACCTTGGCCTTGGCTATGTGCAGCTTACTACTTCTAATGCTGCTGCTGCTGCTGCTGCTAGTACCACTACCACTGCCACTACCGTGCCTAACTAGCACAAGTACTAGTACTAGCTACTAGTGCTAGTAGCAGTACTAGTAGCTACTGCTGCTTCGGCTACTGCTGCTTCTGCTACTGCTGCTGCTGCTGCTGCTCCTGCTGCTGCTACTGCTCCTGCTACTCCTGCTACTACTACTACTACTCCTACTACTACTACTACTACTACTGCTACTCCTACTACTGCTACTACTCCTACTACTCCTACTCCTCCTCCTCCTACTACTACTACTACTGCTACTACTGCTACTACTGCTACTACTACTACTACTGCTACTACTACTAGCACTAACAAGAACACTTTCTGTAGACTCACTTGAGGCTGCAAGAGGAACATTCTGGCAAGACACTTTTATGTTTTTTAGGTTGGTGGCCAGTGATGGCCCAAACAGTTCAAGCACCCACCGCCTCAAGACACAATCCAGCCGGCTGTCGCGGCGCCTCAAGTTGGAGGCTCTTCGATGGAGAGACAACAAAAGGGAGAGACAGATGGAGTGTGGTTTTCAGATGGGTTTATCTAATCGTTGAGGTGGTTGAAGGAAGCAGTAGAAGCGAGACCAGGGAAAGAACGACAGAAACGTGACAAAGAACTGTGTTTCGAGTCAAGCGCATGTAGCAGATGAAGCAGATGCGAACACAGCTTTCCTTTTCGGAATTTCCTTGAAGGCCCAGCGTCCCAATCCAAATCCGGCGTGCTTATTCTCCTGTACTTCCATCAGCCTTTCGCTGAGTTGCAGAATGTTCCTTCTTGCCGCTCGGCTGCTGAGACGATGTTTATTTGCTTGCTAAGGTAGTCATAACGATGTCCTTGCAGAGACTGGCCGCTTCACGGTCACTCCTTTTGTGGGTATGAAGAATCTCGGCTGTAGTGAGTTTCCTTGTGAGGTCAGATGTGTCAGAGCTCGCATTGTCTTTCAAAAAGAAATGGTCCACTTGCGCCCAATCTACAGGCGTTTGTTGCTGCCGGCGCCTGGTCCAAAGTTGATGGGCGCACCTGTGCAAAGCCCAGTTGGTTCAGGTTGCAGTTCGCTTTTCGGTGAGTTTTTTTCTCCGTCGGAAGCCCAAAACGCCTCTGAACCTGGACTTATGTATCTTATGGCGAGGTTCAGGCGGGCGATGAACTTGCAAAGATGCTGGGGGAATCTGCACTACTCGCGGATCTTGGTCCGTTGCTTCGATTGAAGCAGGTGGGTTTCGCGTCTTACTAGCGGACTAGGGCTGTTTTATGAGAAGTGCTTGGGGTGGCTATGGGCGGCTTGTGACTTGTTTGCACACTTAGTGAGTTTTTTTTTCCAGGAAATGGAGGTGCAAGAGGCAGTGGAAAAGAGGAGTGTGAGCATCCTGCCAGCAAGAGTGCTGTGAAACAATGCCCGGAGCAGCTATCTTGAGCTGGAAGAACGTGTCGAAACAAGCGCAGTTCTTGTGAAGAGAATGTGCCGGGCGCACCCGGGCGCACAGGTAGCAATGCCAGCGCAAGTGGATCCGATGCACAGCAAACCACAGCCTCTTTGGCAAACCGCATTGCTTCACAGGTGCGGGTTTAGTTGAGACCATGCTACCAGAAGTGCGCAGTGTTTAGATGGGAGCAGAATAGGAGGTGAAGTTCTTTTGAATTTGATGTGATTTAGAGGCCAAGCGCAACACAAGTGGACATTTGGCGCGGTCATTTGAGATATGTCCAAACCCTGCAAGGAGAGTCTGATATCTGGCTTTACTGCAACGCCTCGCGATACACAGGTGAGATGAATCAAGCATCGGTTTGCTTCGCTTTCTTAGCTTCCTTTTGCATCCTTTTGCAATTATTTTCTATTCCTTCGTAATTCATTATTCTTTCATAAAGAGCGCTTCTATGAGTATAGAATCCCTCTTCAAAAAGGGGGCCTTACCTTTCTTTACCTTCCATTTTGGTATTTTTTCGTCCATTAGTTGGAGGCCATCGCTATTAGGTTGGAGGCCATTAGAATTAGGTTTCCGTTGCTACTAGGTTCCTCTTTTGTCCATTTTGTTTTTTTCTTTTAGAACTCTTTTGGTTCAGGTGACCGCACGCCGCCCAGCGCCCTTCCGGCGTTTGCGGCTGCATGCATGCTTGGTTTTGGAAGGCCTTTGTCAAGCCATACCCAGTCGAAGTCCGGGCTTCTTTGAGGCCGAGCTGTAAGAGCTTCAGTTTGAGAGTTCCATCTGCATGAGCAAAAGAGGAAAAACTGTTTGAAACTGTTTGCGATATTTTGAGATGTTTAGTTTTGTTTCTGTTCTCGATCATGGAGCTTCCTGAGCGTGAGCAAGTCGCATGGGAGGTCTGTGATCGTTCTTTTGCAGGTGCCAGTGGAAGACATCTTCGAGATGCTGCAGTCCTCGTGCTCAAGAGCAGGCGATTCGTGAGCAAGATCCGTGCATCATGGGATGCCCTCAGGGAGCATGAGCGTCCTTTTTTTCAGTCTGGTGATTTTGAACATGCACATTGTAACATCGTGGATGGCATTGTCCATTTCATGATGTCTAATGCCTCCATACCTGGTCCTACCCATTCCACCGGAGCTTTCAGGTGCTTGCTCCTTCAACTTGGACGAGCAGCCTGAACCTGTACCATCTCAGGCTGCACAGACAGAGAGAGAGGGAGAGGGGGAGGGAGAGGGAGAGGATGGAGAGATGGAGACCAAACCCGTCACCAGATCTGCAAAAGCAGACACTGCAATGTATAGAAAAACATAGGACGAAAGCGGAAGAAACAGAAAAGTTCACAGCATGCCGAGAAGAGGACTTTGAATGGCAGTTTCACAGGATGAACACAGGGACCTTATAGATGTAGGAGCAAGGACGCTACTTGGAGCAAAGGGCATCGCTACTAGGAGCAAGGACACTACTAGTAGGTCTTTGAAGCTACTAGTAACAAAAAGCTACTAGGAGCAAAGGGCATCGCTACTAGTAACAAGAAGCTACTAGGGGCTCCTGGCATCGCTACTAGTAACAAAAAGCTACTATTTGTTTTTTTGCTTTGAGGCCTCCAAAGTCCTTGAGCTCCACCTCTCTGCGGCCCGAGTGGCAAAACTGCAACACTTTGCAGCAAGGCTGTGGCTTTGCAACAGCAGACACCCCAGAAACATAAAGAAGCTACTAGGTTGGAGGCAATTACTAGTAGGTTGGAGGCCATTGCTATTAGGTTCATCTTCTAGAAACAATCTGGCTCATCAGACTCATCAGACTCATCACAGCACCGTTTGGACAAACGGCACAATTGCTTTTGACAGATTTGAACACGCTTAGCTTTCAGCGTTTCTATTGTTCTGCCTGTGGCATTGCTCCAAAGGTTCTCAGCGATGTGTGTGTGGTGGAGACAGTGGTCGCATTGACGATGCATGCAGTCCATGTGCCGCGGCAAATCTTGATTGGCGGGTTAGGTGATGATACCATTGGTGATGGCTTTGAAAGCAGGACTCTCTCTCTCTACATATATATATATATACATATATATATATAAATACATTGTACCATTTCCAACAGCTGAACACGAGTTTCTTGAAGGCTCCACCCTTTGACCCAGGCACGTGTGTGGACGATGCCACAGCATCTTGCTTGTGGCAGTTGCTGGCAGAGCATGCGAGACAGGCGCACCCAAAACCAAAGTAGATACTATCAGCTCTACAATACATGCTGAAGAATTAAGCATGGCCATGTACATGTTTGCAGAGTGTTGTCAGGTGGACACAAAGGTCGCCAAGTGTGTCACAACGTTGGAAGCCCAAGGCAATAAGGGACTGCCGAAGGCACTAAACGACAGGCGACAGGTCAACATGTTTTCTTTGTCAACAGAGTTTCTTTACGTTTCCATCAGGCCTTCTTGCCCTTCAAAAGTACTGATCTCAGTTTCATTTAAGCAGGAGGCCATCGCTAGTAGGTTGGAGGAATTCAAAAAGGACACTTTCTTTCACCGATGACGGATTAATTGATTGCAGGAGGAAGTCCAGGAGGTTTGCTTTGATCATGCTCCCTCAGGAGGCGCTTCAAAGTGTGTCAGATGGATTACTCTTCTTTTTGGATGAAGTATGTTTTTGTCTTTGGATGAATTACTCTCCATTTCTGGCCTTTGGTGGAACGGTGCTAGCTTGTGGTTTTGTACCATAAAACATTGTGAGTTTTCAGGCCACCAAGACGGTGCAGAGGATCCCGAGGAGAGCCAATCCTAAGTTCCTAGCAGCGTCCGAACGCTCCGTTCGTAGCGATGCCCTTTGCTCCTAGTAGCGTCTTGCTCCTAGTAGTAAGGCCGTGTTGCCAACAGATCGTCAGGATTTGTTAGGGAAGAAGTGGCAGTGGCATCGGAGGCGATCTCAGACAATGGTATCGTTGCTGACAGGGACTTAAGAAATCCAAGAACCAAATCATTAGCGTGAGCGCTTGAAGAAGCATGAGCTATCCTGCGTCCATATGTAGGAGCTTCCTATTGCTAGTAGCTTGCCTCCTTACTCAATTAAGTAGGCGCCTACTTAATTAAGTAAGGAGGCAGGGCCACGGGCTAAAAAGAAGAACATTAAGAAAGAAAGGTTCAAAGGTTGGTCCAGACATTCTACGACGAGCAAGTCATGTATCTTTCTCTCACTTTGCCTCCAGGCTTGGCTTGGATAGCTTCCTAAAGCTGGTGGCGGCTTCTTTGCGGCAGGCAATTTCGCAGTTAAAGGCTTGGACAACACTTCAGACAGTTTGGACAAACGTGTCTTACGGAGACCCCTTTGCCCGGAGCTTGCTTCTTCAGGGCGCACAGCGAGCTGGCACTGCAGGGCCTGATGTGATCATGAGAGAACCTCAGTCTTTTCTCGCGAAAGGCTCCGTAAGGCTCCCACAGCCTTTCCGAAGATTTCCGAAGGCTCCCACAGCCTTTTTGTGTCGAAACGATGACGTTCCTTTTCTTTGGTGTAAGAATGTCCAACAATGGTCACGAAATCGACAATTCGCGAATCATGATGAATCCTTACGATCAGGTCATGGGGAGTCCTTGGGATTTACCGATTCTCCTCAGGTCGCTGCAACACCGCCTGAGTGCTACGCTGCGTTTGGCCTCGCGCTACTTGCGACCGCCTGCCGCGCTGCCCTACGGTGTACCGCTTACACCGCAGCGACTGCTGCTGGCACAGCAGGTGCTCTCAGCACCGTTGACAGCGCTCAAGGCGTGAAATCGAACATGCGGACATCCAAAGTAAACTCTTGACAAATGAAGGTGTCTTGGACAATGTCTTTCTCTTTGACTAAATGAAGGTGTTGATCTCATGCTTTGATCTAGGCTTACCTGGCCTCCAGCATGATGGACCTGGAGCGGCATGGGCGCAACTCAGGCTCTCCATTTGATTGTCATTTTAAAGGATTTCTCACAGATTAATTTAGTGTAACATGTTTGAAGAGACTTTTTCTGCATTTGGAGGTAAACCGCAAAACGCTGCTGCCCTCCGCTTGTGGGTGACGTATTTGGAGCCCCTTCCTAAGCGGACCAAACTGTTGTCAGGCACGGTCGTCTCGACTGAGGCTCGTTGGCATTCTGCTGCTGGGTGTGAGATCTTCAGGCTGGCCGAGGGAGGAAGACGCAAAGACAACAGATCTTTTTCCTTTTTCAATGCACAGCACTTGTAAGTATACATAACTGCTGCGCTAAAGTACAAAAAGGCATTTTTCGTTTCAGCATTGGCTTCTTTAAAATTTCCACACATTTACACCTTATACGCTTGTTTGCTTCTGCCTCAGACTTTCTTCAAGTTTCTTCTTTCACTTGTGCTGTGAGGTGGACAGTTGGGTCACAAGCTGCTGGTCATGTTGCTGGACTTTCCACTGCCTCTGCGAGGAACCACGCCGAGACCTGAGAGAAGCGTTTCGGAATCATCCGAAAAGGCCAATTCGAGACGCAGAAAACACGAAGAAAACACATCATTCGATTGTGGGAACGACGTCGGAAAAAGTGTGCCCCAGCCAACAAGCTGAGCCTCTTAGGTCAAGTCGTCCAGCGAACTCCTTGCAGTTCAAAGGCTTGCCTACAGCATCGATATCACCGCCATCTGAGCCTGAACAGGCCAGCTCTTCTCAGTGTGACAATGCTAAATAGTCCCGTTGTAAGAGTCGTGCTGTTCGATTTTGGCCGCTCAAAGAGACTCAAGGACACTCAAAGCGTTTTTTGAGCGACTGGCCTGCGGTTTGCGCGTTGGTGTCTTTGAGTGTCTTTGAGTGTCCTTGTTGTCCTTGTTGTTGTGAAGAAGAAGAAGAAGAAGAAGAAGAAGAAGAATAAGAAGAATTAGGACTATCCCAAACCAAGAGGATTCACTAAGCTCTGATCTGGTAGAGCAACATCATTTGAGGGGAGAACTTGAGATCCAAGAGACCTGTTATGGTATTGAACCTCTTCAAAAGGGTTCGATTAAGGATTTCTTGCATTTGAACCTACTGTAGTAGCTTCTTGTTCCTAGTAGTAAGGCCAGGAGCCCCACGATGGTCGTTCCTACCAGATGAATCGCCTTTTCACGATTGGTCGGTCCCAATGCCTGTTTTTGCTGCGTGAATGATATAAACCGGAGGCGAAAAACTGCGGGTGCGTGCACTTGGGCAGGAACTGCACAGAACCCTCCCCAGACACTGAAGGACACTGATGGGCACTGGCGTGGTCTGACTGTCGTTAAGTGTCCCGCTCAAAATGCTTTCCGATTGCACACGACATGCTGTGGTCGCCACGGGCAAAGCGGCCGCGAACAGGGTCCCAGAATGCTTGTAATTGCTATTGTGCACGCGCATGTGTGTGTGTGACTAAATCTTGAGATTGGATAGCCTATTTGCTTCAAAACTATTGTAGGAGTGGTCCATGTCAACCAGGTCAACCAGGGGCAAGAGTGACTCGATGCAAAGAACCGCTGAACAGCCTTTCATTGGGAGAACTGCCAACAGGCTCCAACTTCGCTTCCCAGCGGCTTTTTCGCGCTGTGCTCCGCGCCTCTTCGCCCGATCCACAGTCTGACATGAGTGAATTGAAGCGGACACACAGTCGTGAAGCATAGCGCATGAGGAAAGCTTTGCTTCTGACGGCCAAGGTGCTTCGCCTCCCAAGGCTCCAGTGGCTCCACTTCAGGCTTTGGCACTTGTTCCTAGTAGCTTATTGTTACTACTAGTAAGGCACTTGTTACTAGTAGCGATGCACTTGTTACTACTAGGGGGAGGAGGCCATCACTTCTAGGTCGGAGACCATCGCTATTTCGTTCCCATTGCAATCGCCCAAAATCGTCGGAAGGTCTCCACCTTCTGGGAGTGCCTCTCCAAAGTCTTTGATCGTGTGCTGAACCACCGAGGGGATGCAGGTGTAGGTGGGCAGGGATTGAAAAAAACATTTCATATCAAGTCTTTTCATGAGCTGAGACTGAGAAACACTTCTCCAGGTGACACCAACCAGATCAACAAATCCTTGCTCTTGGCCTTCATTGAGGCGACAGGATGACGTTTACCCAACAGACCTTTGACCACTCTAGCCTCACAACCAGGCCTTGCTGGACTTCGCCCACGATGTTAGTGAACAGAAGAAGGCCACAGAAGATTTGCCGAGACGAATGGACAAGGGCCGGCATATTTTCCCTTTATCGCGACGTTCCTTCGCCAGAATGGCAGATTTCGACAAAATGTGGACGTTGAGAGAATGAACAAAGTCAAGTTCAGAAACTGTTCCGGGTTCAGAAACTAGGGTTCAGAAACTAAAACGAAGGGTTCAGAAACACGGTTCGGAAACTGGTTTTGTCGTGTTCAGAAACTGTTTTTGCCGGGTTCAGCAACTCCTTTTGTCGGGTTCAGACACTTTGTTTGTCGGTTTCAGAAACTATTTAGGTCAGGTTCAGAAAGTGTTTTGCACGAATTCAGAGACCCAGTTTCTTTTTCCTCTTCGGGCACACTGATTGCTTCAGGTACGTGGAGGGGGTGTGGGAGGGTGGTGGGTGGGGGGCTATTGACGTAATGTTTATCTGAGCAAACCCCTAGTCTTAGCAAATCCAAGTTTCCGAAATCCACGTTTCTAGCTTCCGAATTCAACTTTTCGAGTTTCCGAATCTCACGTTTATAGTTTCCGAACCCAAGTTTCGGAACTGCAAGTTTCCAGTTTCCGAACCCCTGGTTTGAATTTCAAGTTTCCGAAACCCACGTTCTGGGTTTCCGAAGCCTAGTTTCCGAACCCAGCCTTTTAGTTTCCGAACCGGATGCTGACCTTGAGAGAATGAGTAGGTGGAACTCCCTGAAGCATTCTAAGCCGCAAGCTCATTTGCCAGCCTCATGGAGGAGAACGTTTGCAGGTGAAGTCATTGTCGTTGCGAACGGGGGAGGTCCAGGACGAGGAACAGGAAAGGGACAAGGAAAGGGGAAAGCAAGCGTAAGGTCATGACAAAACTGCCAGGATATGAAATGGACATGCCCCTCCAAAAGGAACTGCCATTCGCCGGAGCAAAAAGAAAGAACAAGCAAACGGCACTTAGTATCCCCCCCTGGCATCAATTTGCACTGCGATAGCAGGTAGGATCAACCACTTGGTGTTTGTTTATAACTGCGACGGCCTCCAACCCAATAGCGATGGCCTCCAACCCAATAGCGATGGACTCCAGCCTAATAGCGATACTTGATGTTTGTTCATAATTTATAACTGGATACTGACGGCTTCACTTTTTGAAGTCACGGCACTGAGAGAACAAAGTTGTGCTTTTGACGATGATTCATTTGACGGTACTGAGGGCTAAACAACCTAAACAAGCAAACCGGAATGCTTGTTGTAGCGGTGTTGCCTGTGATGATTCATTTGCCTCAACAGCTACTTGCTGAATGAGATCCATGCAACTTTAATTATACGCTCCAGGCTCTAGGGCACTTTTGTGGTTGGCTGAAAGACAGATACTAGAAGATGTGTTCGAAGCCTCTGCTTGCTGCATGCTTTTCTGTAGCTTCGCCGCAGATTTGGCATTGGTGACTTGACCTTGGACGACAAAAAGCATGCTTCTTGAGAGCTTTGGCTCATGATGGTACGAACAACTTTA